AAGTTGGCAGCATGAACTTTCGTAGACTTAAGTCTACTTCCTCAGATGTATTTGGTGGCCAGGGTTTGATTCCCAGCTCGGCCATGAAACCTACTGGGTGACCTTAGGCAAGTCACACACTCTCAGCCTCAGGGGAAGGCAATGGCAAACCTCCTCTGAACAAATCTTTCCAAGAAAACCCCATGATAGGTTTGTCTTAGGGTCACCCTAAGTCAGAAATAACTTGAAGGCACACAACATACATACATAACTGCCATGGCTCAAAGCTAGAGCATTCTGTGATTTGTAGTTTTGTGATCTATTTAGCCTTCTCTGTCAGAGAGCTCTGGTGCCACAACAAACTACAGATTCCTAGATTCCATAGGATGGAGCCATGACAGTTACAGTGTTGTCAAACTGCATTAATTCTGCAGTGCATAGCAGATTGCTGTTGTTGTTTTGTATTAGTAGAAAGATACAGGTAATACTTAATTGGATGTTAGGGTAAGTTAATGCTAATTGATAGAGACTCCCATTGTGGAAGAAAGGCAGGATATAAATTCTGGAAATAATAATAATAATAATAATAATAATAATAGACTGGATTATGGTTTATGTAATAGATATAGATGTGATTGTTTTATAGAGATGTTTGAATGTATGGCAAATGTATGGTTTTATATGTTTGGAATTTTTTTCTTGAATAAAAATAATAATAATAAAAGATTTCAAGTAGGCTTGCATGGGACTTTCCATACTGACAAAATCAAGGATCTTCAAGACACTCAAAGCACAGATAGAAAGGGCACACTGAAAGTCACATCATTTTGATAACTGAAACTCTGGGACTGGCACCAAAGTGACCTTCAGAAAATTAAAACCTTTTATCTCAGATTTCAGAGATAGTGCATATCAAGTACTTTAAAAATATTGTCAGCTGTCATCACAAACTTTAATCAGATCCCTGAGGAGGAAGAGGCACTCTTCCTTACTTTTCTAGATAAAAGCCAGGCACTAAAACTCAATCCAAGGTTCAAGATATTAACTGCTGAGACTGTTTTTCTCACCTGCAAAAAGAACTCCATTTTATCACAAAAAGATCTACTTATCTTCAAGTAAGCCAAGGCTGTCTATCTGCTATAAAAAGCTGAAAAGTTCAGTTAAGATACTGGGGTGTTTTGTTTAAAGTCCTTGATATTTCCTTAGAATAAGGTCAGATTTGAAGCCTTTGACGTGTCAAATAAATGTTACTGAAGATATGTCACTGATGCACAACCAGAGTGGAAATCATGCAGCCTTCTAGATATTTTTGGACTGTAACTCCCAGCATTCCTCACCACTGGCTATGTTGAATTGGGTTGAGGGGAACTGCAGTGTAACTACATCTGGAAGGCTGCATGATTCCGGGTCTAGGCAATGACTGGCCCGAGGTCACCCAGTGAGTTTCATGTTTGTGTGGTGTGCATTTGAATTTGTCTCCTCCCTGCCCACTCCCACTGTTCAATTCTACTGTGTTCCCTATGCTCCAAACCAGTGGTTCTCAAACTTTGGTCCTCTAGATTTTTGGACTTTAGCTCCCAGAATTCCTGATGGTTGGCTGGGGCTTCTGGGAGTTGGAAGTCTAAAACACCTGGAGGATCAAAGTTTGGGAATCACTGCTCTAAACATTAGGCCACACTGGCTCTCTAGGAAGGGGACTGAGGCGTGCCCCACTCTTCCATCAGAAACGTTTACTTTAGAGGAGGCTTCCTCAACAATTTTTGTACTATAATTTCCATCATTCCTGACCACTGGCCATAAAGCAGTGATTCCCAAACTCTGGTCTTCCAGGGGTTTTGGACTTCAGCTCCCAGAATCCTTCACCATACTGGGAGCTGAAGTCTAAAACACCTGGAAGACCAGTGTTTGGGAATTACTGAGTAGAGTGATGGGAGTTGCAGCCAAAACATGTAATAGGGCAGGTTTGGGAAGGTTGCTCCAAAGTGTTCTACAGTGAAAGGAGTGCTTTCCCAAAGCCCTCTGTATTTCTGAAGGAGTTGCTGATCTAAGTGTGCTTTCCAACTATAATCAGATAAGGTGAGACTCACATAAGCAACCTATCAAAGGTCATAAAATTACCAAACTGGAAAACCACCACCCCCATGTATATCTATATCTTGCCTTTCTAATTCTTGTTGTGTGTCTTCAAGTCGTTTCTGACTTATGGCGACTCTAAGGTGAACCCGTCACTGGGTTTTCTGAGGCTGAGAGAGTGTGACTCACCCAAGGTCACCCAGTGGGTTTCCATGGCCAAGCAGGGAGTCGAACCTGGATCTCTGGAGTCGTAGTCCAACACTCGAACCACTATATCACGATGGTTCTCTACAAGAGGAATATTCAGGTTATTATTGAATATTACCCAAAATTAAGATGACACCACCATTTAAAAGAAAACATACAGACACCACCAACCAATGGCCATAGCTAGTTGCCATGAGGCTAGGGCTGCATCTGCACTGCAGAAATAATCCAGTTTGAGACCGCTTTAACAGCCATGGCTCAATTCTGTGGAATCCTGGGATTTGTAGTTTATTGTGGCACCAGAGCTCTCTGACAGAATAAGGCCGAATGTCTCACAAAACCACAATTCCCAGAATTCCATAGCATTAAGCCAGGGCGGTTAAAGCGTTCTCCAACTGGATTATTTCTGCAATGCGGATGCAGCTCAAGCCAGACCAGTGACTCAGGCAGAGACAGACAGCAAACCCTCCCTTGCCAGTGAATGGGAGCCTTTAAACTTTTGAGGAACTGAGTTACTTCTCAGAATATAATATAAAGTAACGACGATCCGCTCCTTGACTAACAGACGCCTCCCTCAACGTGAAGAAACGAACAAGAGGAAGACTCGCCTCAGGATTTAATCCCCCACCTCGCCATGGAAATGGTATCTTCCTTCTGCCTTAGAGAAACGCACCATGGATTGGTCCATTACTTAAACCGTTAAGATAAAAGGGGGGATCCAGTTTCTCCCCCTTTATCGCACAGTTGGTTCTGCCTTCACCACTGGCAACACAGGAAAGTCAGACTGTACCATTAACAGAAAGGGGAATAAGCATTGGGTTGGACTAACCTATCACTGGAAAGAGCCATTCAACTGGGGGTGGGGAGATTGGGAAAGCGGGAGGTCCACCTGCCGAAGGACCCAAAAGGGATTCTTCAAGCTGTCCTGACAAACGCCTGTAGGATTTTATTTTTGTCTGGCTTACCGAAACTCGCAAAAATATTTTTTCTCAGGACCACAAGCACGATTTAGGTCACTTTATCAGTCTATGTTACTATTATTAATTCAGTCAATTACTGATATTATTGAACAGGCACCTCGATAGACGACCTTATTATTATTGTTATTATCATCACTTTTTTTTTAAGAACAGGAGGATGGAGCGTGGAAAGTTGTACTTTTCCGCTGGTTTGGTTAATGCCTTGCAAGAATGCAAGCATATTCTATCAAGAGTGCAACTATACTGTAGTAATAAT